CGAGCTCATGCTGTGACGCCAGTCGATTAGGATGGTCTTTGGCGAGCACTTTCGATTCTATCGCGACAACATGTTCTAGCAGTGTAACCGCCTCCTTGATCTGTCCATTGGCTTGATATACTCGAGCGAGCTCATGCTGTGACACCAGTCGATCAGTGTTACTTTGAGGAAGATTTATATCCCTCCATTCGCAAGACTCCTGTAACCAAAGAACAGCTTCTTTCATCCGCCCATCAACGTATAAGCACTGGCCGACTTTGAGACAGAGCTTGCTCTTCTCTTCCGTACCTTGGCATTGCTCGTCCTTCTCTATGCGTGCTACATGCGGCAGGTAATCCCGCCAAATCTCCCGATTAGTGTAATCGTCGGATGGAAAGACTTCCACCAGGTGTTTTAATGCAGCTATCGTCGTTTCTGCTTTACGACCATTCTGATTTACCCACATCCTCGTCGCCAAGTGGACTAGCCTATGCATGTCGAGCTTAGTTCCATCATCTCTTCTCTCCAGAAATGAGTAGGAGCAAAGTGTACCGATCGCTCCTACCAGCCGTGCTTCAGGATGAGCTGCTGGTAAAATAGAGTATGGGATTGCTCTCCACTCAATGCAAGATATAAATGCGAGGAGATCTGTAGCTAACGTATCGCATTCGAGAATTTTGTTGAAGGTGATCGTCCACGTCTTCGCAACCGCATTCATCGAGTTCCGATATCGTGTTTTATCGCCGAAATCCGTGCTTATGAGTGCGGCAGCATCCTGCTCTGTCTTCTTTAATAGGCGCAAATACTCGGAGATGGAGCTTTTATTAGTGTTTATATATGCTGCTGCCTGGGTGATAGCCAACGGGAGGTACTCCAGCTCCGTCAGAAGATTCACCACACTCTCAGAGTTGTCAGAAGGGTTCTTTCGAACTAGAGACTTCTGTAACAAGTCCGTCGTCTCCTGTCTTGTCATTTTTCCTATCTCAACCACATCGCTGCCCGTCAAGTACTGCGCTACAGCTCCATGCCGCGTCGTAAATATAGTCAAGCCACCATCGCTTTCTGGCAGAAAGGCCAGCAAGCCTTCTGTTTGATAGGTCCCGCGAAGCAAGTCAAGGTCGTCAGCGTTGTCGATAACTAGCAGCCACTTTCCTGCGGCCTTTGCACTTAGCCGTTGCCGCACTAGGGCTTTCAGGTCTTCGCCGCCCTCTTGCTCCTGCCGTATCCCTAATGCTCCCGCTATCTCCCTGCAGCTTAGCTCAAACGTCTCCATACTCAACGCTTGTACCCAGAAGATGGAGTATTCTGGACAGTCCTCCTTAACTGAATATGCGAATTGTAGCGCAACTTGTGTCTTACCGATACCACCAAGACCGCTGAGCGATACTTTCTGACAATCTTTATTTACTAGGAGCTTTTGTTTCAGCGTATCGAGCTCTGCATCCCGACCGATAAACTTGTGATTTCGTTCGAACGGGAGGTAAAAGGTATGCTTCCCCCCTATAGCGTGTGAGTCCTATCTCTACATTTCACGCTATAACGGCTAGACTAACCTCGTAGTGCTTCATCGACCGTTTTCGTGTTCACCACATCCGCCGCCGGTATCACACATAGCAACTCCTTCGCGTATGCCGCTGCTGTTCCCGCCGCGTATGGCTGCCATCTCTTATTCTTGTGGGAGTCAGCGTAGTCGCAGATTCCGCGGATCACCAGGCATGGAAAAGTATTCATCAGGCCGGCCGCCTCCATCTCAAAGCAGAGAACTCCTCCGAATTCTGAGCTAATCTTGTCCCGTTCGACTCCGTCCCTCATCACCTGGTTCCCTGACGCGATTGCACCGTAGTAAATCATAGGTATACTGTCCGCCCGTTCGTTCCTCTGTATCGTCCTCGCGGTCGTGCATGATAGACAGCTATCCTCTCCACTATGATTGTACTCCGCTTCGAACAGGAAATCGCTTCCTGCTTGATCACGGCCGAACTTGGGGAGGTTACCAAGCTTCGAGAGGTGTGGCAACAGACTGCTTTTCCCTCGGTCGAGGTTGGATCGAAGCTTCGTAACGGCGGCGAGGAGGATTGTGGGCGGAGCATTGAGGAACCCCGTCCGCTTGAACCCGCTTGGCGTTGACTTTCCAAAGTCGTATTGCACTACCCCGCCATGACCGTTGCCCGGCTGGCTGACAACAACGTCGCCAAGCCGAATATCTGCTTCTTTGCTTGGAACGCCGCCCCCAATTCCTACCATCAGCCCAAATCGAACGGCCGGAAACGTGGTCTTCATCTGTATGGCCACTGCCGCAGCAGAATTGGTACCCGTCTGGCCTGCAGGCAGACACGCCAGGACGACATTATGGGCTCCTATGGACCCTAGGGTGTATATATTTGAATCGGTGTGGTTCGAAAGAAGATTCTGATGTTCTTCGTCAAGCATCTCCTGAGCGGCAGTCAGCTCGTCCGGCAAGGCGCATACCCACCCGACCGTGTAGTCATGGTGACTGAGGCGGCGGGCCATCTTGGTTTGGTGTCAGCTTAAACTGGCTTCAACTGGCTTCAACTTGGTCGTGGTCTTGATATCATGACCAGCACGAAATGCGAGACGCCGTCTTCGAGATTTATGCAAGGCCAGGCGCATATCGCCCACGGCTGACATGGAAAAGGAGCGAGGCTACCGCCGCTGGTGTCACGTGGGGTCGAATTAATCCTTGTACGGATGAGCAATACAGTTGACGAAGCCCAATAAAATCTTGGCGCTTGGGCCGGGGTTAAGATAAGTGGTGACCAGCTAGTCCGTCTGTATCTCATTGTGCTGAGGATCCAGATTCGCTGACAAACACCAGATGATACAACCGAAGCCCGGATAGTTTAGAGGTGTAAAACAACTTGTATTTATGGTCTTTTTTTTATCAGCTTGGTCTGGGCACCTCTGATGCTGGATGATGATGGCAATACGTTGACTCTTCCCATAATCACAGTTATCTCTTGGATTTATAGGCTGGATCTTTAGGCGAGACGGTTATGAATTGCTTCTAGCATTGCAGGCATGATGCATGAAGTGATGGTGGGTGGTCGGGTGATTTATCCCGATTCCGAAGAGGGCATAGTAGGTATGCCCTCTCAAAAACTCCTGAAATAATTATACAACACCTTAGGCTTCTGTTTTTTTCTTTTTGGCTTTTCGCTTTAATTACTATGGTTAGTAACATATCCGTCTCAGCCAGTTGATGGGACCTTGGAAGGTCGATCATAGCGAGAAACTGGAATTGTTGCTGGATTGCTGTTGATACACATCACTTCCTCTGTTTGCTTTTTAAGTACATATTCTCAAGACTATGATTGGCTTTTGGACCGCGACAGCCTCACAGCACCACGTACCAGATAACCCCTCAACTCCCAACCTCGATTTTAACATACCTTTAAAAAAATTTATCCTGCAGATCTAATATCTACTGTAGGAAATACTACTTTTCTCTAGCAAAGACTATATGCTTCCTTCTCGCGAAATTTCACTTCTTTATTGTAAATGGCATATAAAATGGTCTTCACACGCGATGACTATACGGTCGCATGGATCTGCGCCTTGCCTCTGGAAATGGCGGCCGCAAAGGCCATGCTGGACGAGGTTCATCCTCCGCTCCCCCAGCCAGATACCGACCACAATGTCTACACACTTGGGAGGGTTAGCAGCCACAATGTAGTGGTGGCCTGCCTGCCTGGCGGTGTCTATGGGACGATATCCGCTACAGCTGTGGCGTCACATATGGTCTCTACCTTTCGGAGTATCCAGTTCGGATTGATGGTGGGTATTGGAGGTGGAGTCCCGAGCCAAAGTGCTGACATTCGCCTTGGTGATATTGTGATCAGCAAGCCAACTGCCACTTCAAGTGGTGTTATCCAATATGACTACGGCAAGACACTTCGTGACGGACGATTTCAGCACATCGGGTCGCTTAATAAACCGCCGTCGGTGTTGTTGAAGGCTATGTCTCAATTAGAGAGTGATTATATGACAGGGAAAAGGCCGGTTAGTGAGATCTTAATTGATATACAGCACAACTGTGAAGAGATGAGAGAAAACTTTTCGCGACCGAAAGACGACTGGCTGTTCCGACCAACATACAATCATAAGGATGGCGAACACAACTGTTCAGCATGTGATCTGACCCAGTTAGTGAACCGTCCCGAGCGGATAACTGATGACCCTTATTTCCATTATGGTTTGATCGCCTCCGGAGATCAGGTCATTAAAGATGCCAAGACTCGAGATTCCATTGCTCAGGATCTAGACATACTCTGTTTTGAAATGGAGGCTGCTGGGCTCATGGACGAACTCCCATCACTTGCCATTCGAGGCATCTGTGACTACTGTGATTCCCACAAGAATAAACAGTGGCAAGGATATGCGGCCCTTGCTGCTGCTGCCTACGCGAAGGCTCTTTTGTCAGTGGTTCCCACTTACTGCTACAAGAAGGAATCATATAAATCAAGGCAGCCAGTTTGGGTGGTCCCCTTCGGAAGAAACCCGCGATTCGTAGGTCGGGAAGAAGAAATCACCAGAACCGAGGAATTGATTGTGCAACAGGACGGACCTGGTAAAGTTGCTATCTGCGGATTAGGCGGAGTTGGGAAGACCCAGATCGCACTTGAACTGGCATACCGCATGCGAAAACGAGACCCTGAGTGCTCGATATTCTGGATTCAATGTACTAGCTATGAGAGTGTGGAACAAGCCTACATAATCATCGCCTCAAAGCTAGGAATGACCGACATAAAGCCGGCAGAGGTAAAAGAAAAGGTCACGGCCTATCTCAGCCAGGAGAGTGCCGGGAAGTGGCTTCTTCTTTTTGATAATGCAGATGATATGGAGATGTGGAGCCAGGACAACACTAATAATCCAGTTCTGGCAAACTTTCTTCCTCGAAGTGAGCAGGGCCATATTCTCTTCACCACACGCAGCCGGAAGGTAGCTGTGAAACTGGTGTCTTCTCATGTAATAACAATCTCTGAGCCGGACACAGAGACTGCTCTCAAAATTTTACAAAACTCACTGGTTGAAAAAACTTTACTTAATGATCATGATATGGCTATTACTCTTCTTGAGCAGCTGGCCTTTCTCCCGTTGGCGATCACCCAGGCGGCAGCATATATCAATGAAAACAGCATTGGCCTCTCTGACTATATAATACTTTTACAAGACCAGGAGCCAGATGTGATTGAATTGCTGAGTGAAAACTTTGGGGACGAAAGGCGATACAAAGACACCCAGAATCCTGTTGCGTTAACCTGGTTCATCTCCTTTCAGCAAATTCAGCGATCAAATGAACTCGCGGCAGACTATCTGTCATTCATAGCCTGCATCAGCCCTCGCGGTATTCCGCAGTCCTTACTTCCCCAGCCAATCTCAACTAAGAAGAGAGTTGATGCCATCGGCCTCCTCAAGGCCTTCTCCTTTATTAGTGAGGATGGCGGGAACCAGTTTCTAAATACACACAGACTAGTCCATTTTGCGACTCGGAACTGGATGAGAAAGAGCCAACAGTTTAGCCGGCATATATTGAAAGCTGCAGACCGATTGAGCGAAGCTTTCCCGAACAATGACCATGCTAATCGGAAGCTATGGCGGGAATATCTGCCGCATGCTTTTTCGCTATTAGCAGAAGCTGACTTCCAGAAGGAGCAGGAGAGATATATTAAGTTGATTGGGAATATTGGGAACTGTCTATATAGTGACGGCAGATGGAAGGAAGCAGAAGAGCTGGAAGTACAGGTGATGGAGCTCTGCAAGCAAGTGCTGGGACCAGAGCATCCAGATACTCTGACCAGCATGAACAA